CATCACCGTGAGACTCTAGAATATCATTCTTTCCCAAATCTTGCTCTTTTCACAGATATCAAGAGCTTTAGAGAATCAAAAACTGAGATGCAACTGTGCTTCTGCACCAGGCTCTAATGAGTCAAGCACGAAGTATAAAAAGTATTCCTTCTGCCATGATTCTTCATTAACAATGAAGAATTGTAATAACTAAGGTGTTTGGTTTATGCTTTCAATTATTCAAGGTGGAACACTAAAAGGGAAAAAGTAACCTTAACCAGTGCCTTCACACTGCTAAGCAAATGTTTAGGTGCACTGTCAAGTTTCAAAGCTTATCTGCAAATCTTGTAAAAGCAGATCTCCCTAAGAGGCAGCATCTTTCAGATACACACACATCTAAAAGTATGTGGGCAAGAATAATTTGGTTGCAAAACCAGAGAATAAAGATGAATCAAAAAAGATACACAATACTTGTATCACAAAACCAAAAAGCAAACATAATAAATACCAACATTCAGATTTTTTCTAAGTTAAAAATTTTTAAGATTCCAGAGGCAGTTTTTTTCATCAATGCTCATAGTCAAAGGGAAGGTGTTTGAAAGGGCCAGTCAAATCTAGTGAATCAACAAATGCTTCTGGGGCTGTGTGCTTTGACCATGGGACTTGCTTTCAGAAACAGGATCTGCTGAGAGCTGATGGGGTCCATCTGTCAGAACAAGGGAAGAGCATTTTCTGCCACAGACTTGCCAAGCTGATGAGGAGGGCTTTAAACTAAAGATGTCAAGGGGGAAGGGAACCTCAGTCCATCCTGTGAGAGGATGGATTGTAGGAGAATAGAGGTAGTGCTGAAGGCAGTCTCATTCCTGAGTTGCAGCTGTACTAATTACCAAAGAGTAGGGACAGGCCTGCCCTTAATACGGCACAGCTATTTCCAATAAGGATGAGTGTTATAAAAGAGTGGGTTAGCTGATTGAGAGGAGAGCTGCAGTTTGTTGGCTGTACTGTGAGGAGCAGTAAGGGGCAGGTTGTTGTGCAAGAGCCAGTAAGGGCAACTATGTGCTGTAAGGGACAGTGAGGGTCAGTACGTCCTGTGAGGGACAGTTGGGGTCAGCATATGCTGCGAGGGACAGTCAGGGTCAGTACGTGCTGCGAGGGACAGTCAGGGTTATGTGGTTGCAAAAGGGACAAGAAGGAGTCAGCTGGCCAAGCAGAAGGAAGAGAAAAGGAGTCAGTATTGTGAGAAGCTGCCTGTGGGAACTCAGAGAGAAAAGGTAAGAAAGTAACGTAAGATGATAAACTGATGGTGACAGTCAGTTTCCATCCAACACCAGTTGGTGCCAAGCACCAATGCCACCAATTGTCGGGATGGGTCCTGACACACCCCACTCCTATCACTTTGGTGCCAGTGCCAGCAATAGATGCCCAGAGCCTGAAGAGGGATCACAGGTCAGCAGAAAAGCTGACCAGAAGAACAACACAAATGAATTCCAGCTACTCCAGCCAAAAAGTCAGCTTCATTAGGGTCTCAACTCCAAATCATCTATGCAAGAGCACATAAGGGGAATAAACAAGCAGAGTTAGACATGTGGGCATGCCTATGACCTCATTGGTATGTCATGGACACATAGTGGGATGGCTCCAAAGAGTAGTGCTGAAATGGAAAGATATTGGCTCTTCAGGAAAGACTGGAAGGGTAGACAAGGAGGTGGTGTTGCCCTCTATGTCCATGACCAGCTGGAGATCATGGAGCCTCACCTGGGGATGGATGAGGAGCTGACTTGAGAGTTAATGGGTCAGGATTAAAGGCAGGCAAGGGAAGGCGGTTTTATAGTGGATGTCTGCTACAGATTGTCTGAACAGGAAGACAGAGAAGATAAGGCTCCTTACAGAGAAGAGCATACACAAACGTTGTTCCTCATGGAGAATTTCAACCACCCTAATATCTGTCAACACAGCAGCACACAAACAATCCAGAAGCTTCCTGGAATGCACTGATGATACCTTTTTTCTTCAATTGATGAAGGAGCCAAGAAGAGGAGGTGCTATGCTGTACTTTTTTTCCCAACAAGAAGGGGCTGGTGGGAAATGTGAAGCTCGAGTGCAGCCTTGACTGCAAGGACCATGAAATGGAGTTTGACATCCTCAGGGCAGCAAGGAAGGTGCATAGAAAGCTCACTACCCTGGAGTTCAGGAGAGCAGACTTTGGTCTCCTCTGGGATCTGCCTCATACAGTATCATGGGATAAAGCCCTGGAGAAAGAGAGACGCAAGAAAGCTGGTTGATATTAAAGGATCACCTTCTCCAAGCTCAGAAGTGATTATCCCAACAAAAAGGAAGTCAAGCAAAAATGTCAGAATGGCATTAGATGAACAAGGAACTACTGGATTAACTCAAACACTAAAAGAAAGGCTACAGAGGGTGGAAGTAACATGTAGCCTGGGAGGGAAAGAGGTTTTCTAAGCAGCTCAAGTCTATCAAACTGTGAAAGCTAAAGTTTTTCTTGGAAAGGGGAAATATAGCCTACCCTTTTGTAAAAAGGGAAGTAAGAAAGACCCAGGGAAGTATAAGTCTAGAAGTCCCAACTTGGTTCCCAGTAAGATTATTAAGTAGATGGCTTCACTAAAGCCAAATCATGCCTGACAGATTTAATGGCCAACAACAGAGTTACAGCAACGGTGGATAAGACAACAGCAACTGATATCATCTACCAGGACTTGTGCAAAGCATGACACTGTCTCAAAATTTCCTTGTCTCTAAACTGGAGAGATGGATTTGATGAGTGGACCTCTAGCTGGAAAAGGAAATGGCTGGATGGCCACATTCAAAGAGTTGTGGTCAACAGCTTGATGTCCAAGTGGAGACCAATAATGAGCAGTGTTCTGTAAGGATAATCACTGGTACCAGAGCTGTTAAACAGCCTTGTGGGTAACATGGACAGTGGAATCAACTGCACCTTCTGCAAGTTTGGTGACAACATCAAGCTGTGTGGTGCAGTCAGCATGCCTGGAAAGAAAGGATACCATCGAGAAGGATCTGGACAGACTGAGCAGTGAGACTGTGAGAACCTCATGAAGATCAACCCACACCATTCTGTGATTCTGTGAAATCCAAAAGATAACATCCCTTAGGAGAATATTTTTCCTAAGCCAGCTGAACTTTCCAGTACATAGGACATTCTGCATATTTATATAGTTGTGTTGTACAGTACTTATTACGGCTACAACTCTGCAGTCAGATTGGCTGCTACTGTTGAGGAACACGTTCGCTGAGGTAGCTCGGGGTGCAGTGCAGTGGGAGCTGCAGGCTGAGCTCAGGCTGGGGCAGCCCAGGCAAAGAGGCCGTGAAGAGCCGACCCTGGGCACACAAGGGCCCCAGGACCTGTGGCCCAGCCAGGGGACCGGACACTGGGACACGGCAGGAGCCAACGATCCCAGACCTTCCCACGCTTAGACTGCTGAGGGGATGAAAGTCCAAGGAGGGTCCCTTTGTTCTGGGTCCCTCCTCAGAGACACCAGCTCGAGCTGTTAGTTTGTTAGAAATTATTTTAATGGTTGGGACGCCTGAGACTGCTATGGGAAACCTGGGGTCCACCCAGTACGGAAACCTGTTCTGACTGTGGGAATGTGGGGGCTGTAACTGGGAAGAGCCTCTGTCCCAGCTCAGGTGGTGCTAGAGGGACTGCCAGAGAGGCTCCCAGATGGCTGGGCAGGGAAGTTTCCTTAACACTACACCTGTAATCAATTTACACAGATCAAAGTAGTATCTAGCAAGCTACTATAAGGCTAATTTTGCAAAAATAATTCAGAGAGAAAATTTGAGAAAGCTCACTACGGAATACTCATATCATGGTAGAAACATACGCTTTCTTCTAGAAAGATAAAGTCATACAATTCAGATGAACAAAAACAATTATGAGTGGCAAAACATTACAGCAGAAACAAATTCTGCAATAGTTAGAAGTAAATAAATGCCATGAAATAAATAGGGCTTTAAAATGTCTTAAGTAAAATTAAATTAATTTTCAATTAATTTATGTGAAAGACAATACTGGGAAAAAAAGCTCTTAAAATGGAATTTAGCTTTTTAAAATACAATCAGAAGTCATTACTATTCATCTGTACACTCATGGCAAAACCTAACTGCATCTCAGCTCATTCCCCAAAGAGGAATCAAGATTTAGTATCAAACATTTTTTCATACTTAGGAAGGAAAGAATGATAGTATTCTATTACTTTAATAGTGTAAAGTATTAAAAATAAAGAAATGCAGAAACCCAAAAGAATATTTTGCTACAGCCAGTGTCTCTCAAAAAGTCAGATGAAATCCAAAAAACTAACTGGATTTGCTGTTTGGCCCTTCTATATAGTTTGGTTTGGTTTTTTTAGTATATTTTTTTTTTGTGTGAATTTTTTATCAGTGAAGAACTACCATCAGAGAAGTGCAACCAGGTAAATTTAAAGAATCCCTATATAATTTCACAACAAATGAAACCTCATTCTCGTCTACATCCAATCTCCATAAGAAAGCGCAAGAAACTAGAATTCAAAATATTAATGAAAAAATATATCTTAAATTATCATGGAAAACATTTACAAAAAGACCAAGAGGAGAATTTTCACAAAGCCCACAATATTTTTGCAAGATACTTAGGTAACACTCTAATCTATTCATATACATATAGTAAGGCACAAAATAAGAAATTAGGTAAATACAGAGTAATTTAAGTATTAGACTGTAGAGTGGTAAAAAAACTCGAGGTTTAATTTTTCTGCCCTGAAAGACGACCTTAGCAAAAATAACTTCTTAAAATCTTGAGAAACCATCACAGACCTGAATATTTTCCATAAGATTGCAAACATTTAATTATTTAGAGAAATGTAAAAAAAATATTTTAATCAGGAGCATTTTCGTATTTTATTTTCTCCAAGGTACTATTACACATCCCTTCATAGTAGAAATAGGACATCCAACTTCCAACCCACAGTCAAGTCAAACTAATTCTCCAATTCCACACCTTGAAGTAATTTGTCAAATACTTTTATTCCAGAGAGAAGGCACTGCCTTTTCTCTAATAATTTCATCTATAAGAACAGCACAGACTTTTTATTTTTATAAGCAAGTTATTTGTAAAGATTCGTCAAAGTATGAACACACACCTTGGTAACATAAATACTATTTAGAGGATACTCACAGTTACTGTTTGCTTTTCTTCAAGAAACCCAAGCACTATTTCACATTTCAAATTAGTGTTTAATCTGCACAGAGTAGGTTTACCTTTTCATTAAACATACTCGTTTGGTACATTGCAAAAGCACTCTAAATTGTTTTGTAAGGCTGATTTCAAACAAAAGCTGAAAGGATGGTCTTAAAATATAATTTCAAGTAGGAAATTTGATGATAAATATTGTTGCTAAAATGATTTCACAGAAGAATCTTTCTATGGATGACATAATTGCAGCTAGAATCAGAAAAAATCATGACTTAATTCTTTGTGAATGAGTGAGGTTTTTCTTTTAAGAGAGAGAGTTGGTCAGAGCTGTCTCAGTCTCTGTTTGAAGATTTTAGAGAAAACATTCAGCAGCCTTAAAGGAAAAATTCACACAAAATTCAGATTGAAGATTTTGAGAAGGAAACTCTGAGATGTTGGTTTTCTCCAAAGTCATGATTGTGAAGCTCAATGAGAGCGTGAACTGCTTCTTCCACTGAGCCCAGCTGGATAAGAGCCATTTTGCAATCTTTCCTGAAGAACAATAAAAATTATTATTAATCCTAACCAAATTTTCACTAGCCAACACAGAAAAGTGGCATAAGTGGGGTTTTTTTCGCAGCTATATCACACACACTTGTACAGCAAAAGAATTGGAGCTATTTATGCATCTGCTAAAATGCAAAGATAAAAAACTACATAAATTTTTGAATCTATGGCTTAAAGTCATGTCATTCTTTCGTTACACTGGACATCAAAAATCTAGGTCAAAATACGGCTTGAAGACCTCTAAGAAATAATTGCATTGTCCATATATATGGGATTAGTCTAGCAAGTATGATTGTGCTAAAATAATACTGTCAACTAACCTTAATTAATGTAGACACATTGTCATCACTGTCATTTTTATATGGCATTTTACAAATACAAAGCTTGTATTTTTCAAAGAAGTGAGCATTTTCCTTGAACTTGCTTTACTTTGAACACACGTGAAATTTGTCAAAAGGCTGTATATTTTCAGCTTCGTTATGCTAACCCAGTATTCCATTTACAATTTTAAGACAAAGTATCAGAAAAATCGTGATAGGTGTACCACTTTTATGTACAGCTATACATACATAGAATTTTGCCTGAAGTTGTATACACATAGAAAGTCACAAAAAAGCAATTAGCTATTTTTTAGGATGAAAGCTTCCTTAGCAATTTTACAAGAGAACTTACTGGAAAAATTTGAAGCCTTTCACAGTAGATCCTTTACTTGTAAAAAGGTTCTTCAAATCATCGACAGTAACAGAAGGCCTAATTGAAAACAACAAAAAACAAACAAACAAAACAAAAACAAACTCCCCTCAACTTGTAGAAGAGCACAGAGTTCTGTAATAATATCAAGATCTCAATTTTGGCTTCTAAACTAGTTTTTGCTGTTTAAGTTTATCTCCATCAACTCGAAACACTTCAGCCCAAAACACTTGCATTTACTCTACATTTTAGTGTCACATTGTGCTACAAAAATAATTTGGACAATCTATTGTTTTTCATCCAACCCTGTTTCTTTGTCAGTAAAATTCAGATTGCATAAAAATCTCCTAAAATCTTAAGGAATACATTTCATCTTGCACTTTGTGCACATCACATATTTTCACATATTTTCAATTTTCAAAGATTTTTGTTTTACTCAAAAAGCTGTTTTGAAAGTGTCTTATAATTTACTTTCTTACTGTAGCAAAATTCCATACTTTCCTTTTTTCCTCCCTGCACAGCTGCCAAAGATGAGAAGCCTGTAAAACTTATGTTTGGCTGTTACTCCACACACTACTGATAATATTCTAGACATTAAAAAGATTATTTCAGTCTTAAAGAGCACACTAAATAATACTTTTTACTTTCTCACAACTTGCCCTCCATGTAAGAGATCTGAATTCTGTAGAAGATGTTCTTTAAAAAGTATTAGAATTATTAAACACCATATCTATATTAAATAACAATATCAGCGATTAATTTGTTGTCGTGTACATTACCTAAAAAAACATGTCATTAACCTTTGTGAAAATTTGTGATATGATTTAACATGTCAAAAACCAAAAGCATACTCTCAAGAAAATATAAATTGAGAGTATGAAAGAGTATCAAAAACTCAAAGAAGGTAATTCCTTCAGTTATCCTCTTTGCTAATGATAAAAACGGGACAGTTAAAAGATCCACTTATTGTTAATAACATACCAGAATGACCCACAACAGAATGCATTGTAAAAGGCCAAGGAAAGAAAACCAAGACTTATGTTAGACTTTTTAACTTGACAACACCACCTAAAAAATACCTTTCCAAGAAGATGACACATGCCGATACTCACGGGATGTTGGACAGATGCAAGGTTGCAGATGGAGGAAAGATATTTTGAAAATTCTTGGAGCAGGGATTCTTAAAACGATGTAAAGGGCTATTGCTATAGTCCTTTGTCAGACCTGTGTCCTCTTGTCCCTCACGAGGAAGTTGAATTGTCTGATATTTTGAAAGAGTAGTATGCATGACCCTTCCATAAAGCTTTTGTCCATTCAAGTAGTTGATAGCTAACCAGTGGAAATGTAATTTGAACAGGAATTAATGGAGGGAAGAAAAGACAATTCTTTGAATACTAATACTGTTTTCTACTTAATGTCAGATTTCACATCCTAAATTTAAATTGCAACTTCCACATCTACCAGGTGGGCTATGTCACAACATTACATTTTAAAAAGGTATAAGGATATAATATAATCTCCAGTTCAAATGCCAAAAAAAATGCAAAATAGCATTTCAATACAGATCAGTTGACCATTCTTAAATAGGTAGATATAAGATAAATTACAGGAAAATAGTATAATGTATTATTAAAATAAATATGTTATATATAAATATAAAAGTACGTTTTAGCTCTATTGTTTACTAAATTGAGATTCATAATAGACTATTTTTTTAAAACCAGTAAGAGTATTATCAAAGTTTGCATGTAGTAAGGCAGCTCAGTGATGAATTTTATTTGTTTATGCCTGTCACTGACAGATTAAAAACTCTTCCTTTATATTAAACTCATGTTAGCTTGAAGCATAACTGTGCCTTAAAAATCAATACCTAATTGAGCTTGGGTTGCATCTGCCATCTGAACCAAAGCAATTCCTCTTTTCTTAAACATGATTTTCACACGATGCACGTCACCATATACACCTGTGGAAATCCAGAAAGGAAATTTTTTCAGAACACTATTATGAAAAGCAGAATGCCAAGTCTGTTTCTTTTGACTAACATTAGTGTTACAAATAATAATACCTCATTAAACAGGTTGGTTAGAATATTAGTTTAAGGAGTGTTTTAAAGTTTGTTTATTATATTCTGGGGCTCTTAAGTGGAGGAAAATCCCCCAGATCCCAGTCATACTACTGCATGTTTGTGTTCAGTTTTCAAATAGTGCAACAGTTGCCAGAGTCCTCTTAACAGAGGCTTAAAATATTACTCTACCCAACACTGTCCCCTGCTACTAATGTATGAGGCAAATCTGTACAGCATTTCCTCTGATGCAACCTCCGTTTTTTTATCTTACTTTGCTTTCCCATTTTTTGTAGTAAACAAATTGGACCACACATCAAAATTCTTCTGACACTAACTGTTTTGCCATTTTGGTATCTGTGGCTTTTAAGTAATGCCTCAACTTACTGCCATTTTAAAACCAGTGCATTCTCTCAGTGTATTTCCTGGACATGCACAGAGCAACAGAGTTTGAATTAACCAGCATGAGTCAGATAAATAAAAAGAACCACTAGCCCTGTGGTTTGTCAAGGTATATTTGACATATCTTACCAAATAGGATGAAAAGTCCATAAGGTGTGATGGCCTGTTTAAATGATAAAATGAGTACATTATTTCTAAAGCCATGCAAATGAAGACATCTATTCTATAAGTGCATGGTAAACAAAAGAAAAAAAAAATGGAAGAGATGCTGCATACTAATACATAAACCTGTCTCTCCAAAAGCCATTCCCTGCAATAATCACAGTGTATGGCACTCTTGTTAATACACATTTGCTATACACATGTAAAATATGTAAACAAGCAAACACTTCAGCTCATACATTTTTATCACTCAAGACTCATTCTGTCATGCTGCAGAAGCTATTAGTTTTATAAGTAGCTGTATTATTTGACCTTATCCTTTCTAAGCTACCTGCTCATTCTGTGAAAAGAATGAAAGACACTGGTTAAATTAAAATAAAGTATTAAAGAACTCCTTTGCATTTTGTAAACAACAGACAATACCAACAAAAATAAACCCAGCTGCTTCAAAATGTGTTTGCTTTGTCTTCAATTTTGTCCCCATCCCTGTACATGGCCATGACATTCTAAAGGGAGACACAGAGTATTTAATTGTTTATGTCGGAAGCATATAGCAAGTGGTATTTAAATTGTATTCAATTAGAAGCTGTGAACAGAAAGGTAAATTTCTCTTCAGTGACTCTCAATACAAATCTTGTGTGTCAATTACCAAAGAAGACAATTTACAATGTAATGCAGCCAAAATTTTTCAAAGGTTTTGCCAGTAATGAGTTCTAAAAATACCTGCATATCAGAAGTGCTACTCACACTCTCTATCCCTATTCCTTCTCAACTCAACTTCTTGAATGTGTACCAAACATACCTACATTATTCAAGAACAGAAGATATTGCAGCCTAAGTGTAAGGCCATACCCATTTATCATCAGCATTTAGTGGTAGAGAACAATTACTATCAATGTAAAATCTAAATTCATCAAGAGTTTATTCTTCTGGCCCAAATATAAAAATTCAGGATAGAGACTGCTGTTTTTAAAAAGAAATTTCTTATTCAAATGAGACTGAAATATTTCTACTTAAAAATCAAAGGGTGGGGAGGAGAATGAAAGACAAAACCAGTCATGAAGGAATGTTAAAATGCACACAAACCAGGAGAGAAATATGAACTGGAATAAGGTCAACCAGATTTTCTATACAGAGAAAAAGGAGTGACAGGGGTCAGACAACCAATACTGAAGAACAAGTGCTACAAAACTGCCAAGAAATATATTTTCAACAATTAAATTTGTAGTACATTCTTATTTTAATCCTTTTAAGAAGTTGAGCATTACTTAACACATTGTTATTGTATCATGCCTTACAGCACTAAGTTCTATATGAATCCTTAGCTATGATTCATACTTTGTAAAGCATCAATGTCCTAAAAAGAGCTCTGACCTATGGTTCACATATGCTTATTTTTAAGAGGTAGGCTCCTTTCAGATTCAGAAAATAGTCAGCTGCAGAAAGCACATCTGCAGCCATCATCAGAAACTCACTAATATATTGTGAAATCAAAGAAAAATTACTTGTCTTACAGCCCTATATACAGCTGGGTTTTTGATGCTTGCTATGAATTTGGCTGTTAATACACAAACGGAAACAGAACAAACGGAAACAGAACAATTACTTAAAGAAACTGGTGAACAGATTTTTAAACTTCAGAATATGAAGATAACTTCAATTTCGCCAACAACTTCTAACAGTTTTACAGTTAAGGAAATGTATGGAGTGTGTGCAACAAGAATTTTACATTGCTGCTTATCAATAGTCAAAAAGAACTGTTTTTTAAGTCAGGGCCCTGTTAAAGCTTGTTTAATTTTTTAAGAAGATGTATATTCCTTTCAATTAAGAACTGATCACTGTTTGAATAACACAAAGAAGATTATAGACCAGCCTATGTCATTTCCACTACAAAAATAACTTTCCAAGTCGTCCTTGGTAATTTTACTGCCACCATATGAAAAAGCATCTGTGTGGTACTATGAAAAGTGAACATGGGTACTTACTATAACTGTTAAAAATACATGTAGAGTGATGTCAACAACATAATGTACCCGTGTTCTTTTTCTTCAATCTCAAAGCTGCAAAACTAGAAAGATCCTACACATGTTTAGAAAGGTACTTGATTTGGCATGCTTTTATCTCTTTTTCTGTTTCCTCCTTTCCATTTAATTCCTTGTTTTTTAAAAAATGTAAGGAAAAATCCTTTACAGATAAGGATTGCCTTCTTTACAGATAAGAAACCACACAGAGAAGTCATACTAACAGAGATACCAGTAAATTATCATATGTATGTTGTTTACATCTTCAAACATTTCTTACACTTGATCACAGACTTCTCTCTAATTACTAGCTACACTGCAAACATAGGGTTCCAAAAGTAAATTGTGTTAGAAAGCTTTTCACGGCTTGATGGGAGTTTTTAAACCTCCCCAATATTGCTAACTACCTACAACAAGTATAGATATGTCCTGTTTTTTATATTATCAGCATAGAGAATTTCTCTTACTCCTTCAGCTAATGTCAGTTTGCAAGGATTCTGGCAGTTGATACAAGGTGACATTTACATCAGTTCCACCAATCAAACTTACTTCAGGGTTGAGGTTGCTGACTAGTAAAACAGAGTTTCCTGGAATACCCGGAACAGTCATGTGTCCAGGTGCTGCTGATGTGGTGACCGTGAGAGGACCAAGTGCTCCAGGAACAGGCAGAGCTGAAGGACCTGGAAAGGTATAAATAGCATCACTTGACATCTCGAAGTGGATAAGGAAGAATACACAAGCAGGTTGTATTTGGCAAAACCATCAATATCCAATTTAAAAATTATTTTAAGGAATTTAGTTATTACTAGTATCTGACCAATAAAGCAGGAAGCATCTCCCTTTCAGAGAAAAAAGAAATATTCAGCTACACAAATAGACCCAAACAAACAGGGACATAAATTGCAGCCGAAGAAAGAAAAAAAATAATACAGCACACAAGTTTATCCTGTGCTAGAAAGGGAAAGATCACAGTCTAAAAAACTATATATTTCTCACTTGATAGCCAGAAAAGCAGAGACTTCCCTCAATTTGCTTTGAATGTTATAGCAGTTTTATGATTCTGAGAAAAAAATAAATGCTTAATTTCTTCTCTTATAGGTAACCTTGATCATGGCATTTAGGTTCTTTGCTTATTGAATGATAAACTACATCAGGATATTGTTTTTATTACAGAAACTTATTTTATTGAGTATATATATATGAAAAGAGTTACAATTACTCAAATTAATAATGTGTTCTGATTGCTATATTTTAAAACAAATGGCTCAGAATGGATGTATTCAGATGGGCCACTAGCCATAACTACAAACACCACATTTTTAGAAAACAATCTTACCTGCTCCCTGAGGAAAGCCCAAGGCTGGGGCAAACCCAGGAGGCCCTGTATATGATGGAAATATGGTATTTTGGGTGGCTAGAGAGAACAGACATTTTTTAAAGCAGATATTAAAAGTTTTGGAAAACAGAAGAGATTTCAGCAATCAGAATCAGCTACCAGTATTGCTATTTTGACTTTATATGTGATTCCAGATGTTTATAAAACTTTTTGGATTAAAACTCTCATTGAAATCCAAGATTCTATGTTGTACAAAGACAACATAGCCACTTTTGAAGGCAAATATTCTGGTCAGCCTCAACATTCCCCTCTAAAATGAAGTCTGGGCAAAATGTAAATTAGAGAAATTTGAATAGGAAAGCACAGCAGAGACTAGTATCCATTAAAGCCTGTGTTCAATGGTTTCTATTCACACAATGGACATACTAGAAATTTTCTGCAAGTAAATACAGTCAAAGATGTTTTACAATGATGAGATACAACTCCTGAATACTAAGATCAGTACAAGCTAAACAATACGAACTTCTACAACTAATCTGAGGTTCTGAATTTTACTACCTGCTCAAATGCATAAAGCATATATATTCTGCTTTCTAAGGAGATGTACTTTCCCAGTTTGTTTAACTTATAAGTAACCAGTGTTTTTTATATTTCCCCTGGAAATCACAAGCATTAACCAGATTTGGAATAACAACATATGGAGAGTCCCAGCATCAAAGATAGCTCAGTGATTTCCACATTAGTATGTGGAGTCAAGTGCTACCCAGGGTAGCTCACAAAGCTGTGTTCTAAGCAGTTAGATAAAAGCTTGAGTTGTGGATTCGTTTGTATGTAAGGACACACCAGATTTTATTTTTTTCAAATGGGGCATGTATAATTAGAAAACATTCTACAAGCTTGGTAATATGTCTGTTTTACTACTCAAACCTCTACACTGACTAAAATAGAGCTACTAACAAATGATTATCAATAGGGATAATATAACACCAAAAAAAGTATCTATTATGAACTACAGAAAGAAATGTAACAGACACCACAGATCAAGTATCCATGAATACTGCATCACATTACACCTCCTCTTATCTGTGGTAAAAAAGTATCTTTCATACAAAAAACTGAACACATTTATCACACCAAATCAAGCAAATACATTTTGGAAATGATACTGACAAATTCTGGCAATATAGTTATTAATCACTTATTCACAAACCAAGAACTGTAATGGAAACATTAATGAATAAATAGATCAAGAACTTTTATTCTGCCAAATAAGACCTGCATGTTGCACCATGATACCAAAATCAGGAATGTAAAAATTGTCAAACTGAGCGAATGCAGGAAGATCTAGCATTCTTTGGGTTTTTTTTGGGTTTGTTTGCATGTTTCTTTTAAATTAATTTGCTTCATGGTTATCAGCCTAGCTTTCTAAGCAAGCCAATTCAGGTATTTCTGCTCAGTGGATGCAAGAACGCTTTAAATGCAAAATATGCACAAAATTTGTTTGTTTATAGTGCAGTATCTTTTCCACAGAAAGCAGAAGAAAATTAAAGAAAAAAGAAGAAAAACAAGTTTCAAAAACAGTTTAGTTTTGCTACTAAGATAACTTCAAGTCTACAATAAAAAACAGATATATTATTTTGACAATTACCAGCTTTGTTTTATAATTTACATCAAAACTACATCCAGTAATAAGAAGTAGTGAAGGTAGTCACATGGCTTAGAACATCTTTTCCTCATGTTCTGCAACTAAGCTTCTCAGAACATGCCAATGACAATATGTGTATTGCCATCACTAGAAAGGCTAGGAAGCACACTTTTCCCCGTCTACAGCTGTTTATTATTGTTTTTTAAAATAAACGTGCAGCTGCTTCACTATGAATGTACCACAGACAAATACATCAGCCTACTCCAGCACTTCTTACAGTAAAGGAAAATAAGGCTCCTAGCAATGAGAAGCTTGGGAGAGTGAGGGGGAAGAAGAGAAGTGTTCATGTGTTATTCTCCAAAAGCATTCTTATTTCTGCCCTACAAGCAAGTGCAGAAATAAACTACTCAAATTGTACTTTTCCCTTCCACTGACATTTCAAATAGTGCAAGTCTAATTAATTAGTCTATATTAGACTTGTAACAGCACATTTCTATAATGCTGTATGGCAAATTCCACCATCCTCCTCTGCCCCACACTGTAATGACATTTGTCCATTACATAAAGATCCAAGGCCTGCATTTAAGGGGAGCACTAAAGACAAAAATCAAGAAAGTAGTGAGTGCAACTCACTTTCTTATTCTAATTTAAGCTAACTCAACTATCCAAAAAAAAATCAAACCAAACCCAGTATTTGTCCTAGCTGCCACAGAAAAATAAAGGAAAATAGGGAATTACTCTCCCACACTTTTTACTGTGATAATCAATTGGACAGCACTTAGATACCTATTCAACAGCTAAGACAGTTCTTAGCTGTGTATTATTGTTAATAGTTGTCATTAGAGAGAGAAAAATAGCTAAAATCACTCTAATTGTGTTTCTCTAGTGCCACTTCAAGCAGACACTGTCTCCTCTATGCCAAAATGACTTCTAAAATTTAAGAAAATTTCTTAAATTTTATATTTTAAAAGATGAATATAGACATATATAAATAAGTATAGAATTTCGGATTTTCTTGCAGTTTTGTTTCTTGGAGCACTCAATTACCCTAAAATATCAACAAATAAGAGCTAATACTCTTAAAACACTTATTTTCAAGCAGCTTTAGGCAGCCAGTGTCAATTTGTGATGACTTCAATTCTGATATGCAATATTTACTACATTACTTGTACCAATGATACAATTTCACAGCATTTTAGTAGTATTTTATAGCTTTTTTTACAACACTTTAAAATTCACCCACTAGTATTCCTCATGTTATTGTTTCAGATATTCATTTACTATGACTCTGACTTCATGCTTTCCATATGAATTTTACTGGGCATTGCAAAACAAAATGTATGAAAAATTTACCCCTCTATGAACCTGATATGAAGCCAAAGCATAGATGTGACATAAAAATTATGATCTCTAAGTGTATTTAGCACTAGAAGCGAAGGTTTCTTACCAAAAGGAGTAGATAAGGATGTCTCTACAGTTCGGTGGCCATCACCAAAAGGAAGGTCAGTGCGAGTGAAATCTCTACTTTTGTCATTGTTGTACTTCACCGTTAGCTTAGTAAACTTGGAGAAATCAATACGCAGAGTGCAGCAGCCAGTGTAGATACAATGGCCATCCAGAGCCTGAAGAAAAATAATTACATTTTCAGAGATAAAACACATCATGTCAGCCATTGCTATAAGTTTATATTATTATTGCAGCCTTTCAGGACTTGAAGGTGGCCTATAAGAAAGATCAGGACAGATAGTAGGGCAGGTTGGCATAGGACAAGGAGTAATGATTTTAAACTGGGAGGGTTGATTTGGATTAGCTATATGGAAGAAGTTTTTGCAAAGAGTGTGATTAAACATTGGCACAGGTTGCCCTGAGAGGAGGCCGATGCCCACTGGACAGGGCTCTGAGCAACCTGATCTAGTTGAAGTTGACCCTGCTCACTCCAGGGGATTGGACTGGATGACCTTTAAAAGTTGCTTCTAATTCAAACCACTCCACCATTACAAAGTTTTCACCTTGTAATTGAATCCAAACAGTAATTCACCTTCTGGTATTAAGCCCTCTTTTTAAACACCAAGTAGACAATTATGCTGCGACTATCCTTACCTAAACCTCTAGTGTAGTCTACTAGTTAGTAGTATATCACCTTGTGCCAAGTGGACAAAACACAGCTTTAAGCATGACTTAACTTCTTATGTCTCTAATCTTACTTCTCTCCCACTCAACACACAGTATCAGATGGTAATAGGAATACTAATTTGGAAATTTTAACTGCGTGAACTGACCCTTACATGAGGGAGTCTAATGTAGGATCTGAAGCACAAGTCCCACGAGGAGTGCTGGAGGGAGCTGGGGTTGTCTGCCCTGCGGAAAAGGAGGCTCAGGAGAGGCCTTACTGTTCTCTACAATTGCCTGAAAGGAAGATGTAGCAAGGTAGGAGTCAGTCTCTTCTCCCATGAAACAAGTGACATGACAAGAGGAAATAGGCTCAAGTTCTGCAACAGGAGTTTAGACTGGATATTATGAAAAATTTCTTCATCAAAAGGGTTATCAGGCATTGGAACAGACAAGTGGTGAAGTCACCATCCCTGGAGGTACTTAAAAGATGTGCAGATGTTGTGCTTCAGGACATGGTTAGAATTAGGTTTGGCAGCATTAGGTTTATCATTGGACTCACTGGTGTTTTCCAATATAAGTCCCAGACCTAGGTATGACTTCAAGTGAAACAAGAGAGCGGGCAGATCCTGTGCCAGTAACCCCCAGAGGTGGTGTATAATTGTAGGTGATGCCACAGCAGAGGCACCCATCTGCTGACCTGACCAGTGGTCTAAAAAGGTCTCCAGTCTGCCTCTCTGGGACTTGAATCACAGGTGTCATGAAAGGATTGCTAAAGCTTTTCTACATATCTGACTATTTATTACCTCCTGCTCCCTTTATATGAGAATTAAAGATGACTTGGATGAAGGTGCAAAGGCCTGCTCAGCAATTTCACTGACAACACAAAGCTGGGAGGAGTGGCCAATAGCCCAGAGCGCTAAGCAGCCCTTCAGAAGGATTCCAGCAGCCTGGAGGGCACAGAGGAACCTTCTGAAATTCATCAAAAGCAAGTGGAAAACACAGACTAGGGCCTGATCTACTGGAAAGCAGCCCTACAAAGAATGTGAATCTTTGTGGACCACAAGATACCTGTGTGCCAGCAATCTGTCCTTGTGGCCAAGAAGGCCAATGGCATCCTGGGCAGCATTATAAACAACACTGCGAGCAGGAGAAAGGAGGTGATCCTGCCCCTCTACTCAGCACTGGTGAGGCCACATTTAAACTGCTGTGTTCAGTTGTGGGCAACTCAGCCCAAGGGAGACATGGAGCTCTTGGAATGGGTTCAGTGTAGACTTAGAAAGATGACTAAGCAATTGAAGCATCTCTTTCACAAGTAAAAGTACAGGGAGCTGGGCCTGCTCAGCCTCAAGAAGACTGAGAGAGAATATTATCAATGATTTTCATTTTGACAGACTCATGCAGGTCCTGGAGTATATGCTACAGATTTGTTGGCAGCTGATGATAGAGTGCTGTCCTCTTAAATAAAGAGAGATGTCAAAGTTATTCATGCGCAACAAGAGTGTTAGAATGGTGAAAAATCACGAAGTTAACAGTCAAAATATTCCTAATGCTTCCCCTATCCCTTAGCAAGGAAACCCCCCCAACAAACAAACAAAATCAAGCTGAATACACTATACTTACCATTTTGGCATAATATGCATTCATTGCATCAGCATACTGGAGCAGAGCTTGAAATTGATTGTTCTTATGGAACATGACAATCTTCAAGACAAAGCCAAATTTAGAGAAAATCTGTTAGGGAAAGAACATGGGTTTTAAGAAGCAGTGAGTAATTCATGCACACTAAAAACTAGCACTTAATATTCCAAATAAATTTCTGAAAAATATTTCTGTTGTGAGAGCTGAACAAAAATAAAATTGTGTGAACTCAGAATTTTGTATCAGGTAAAAAAAAATAATCAAAGAAAAGCTACAGAAGACAGGAAAGATGTATAAAATTTCCTTAAAGAATTAGCAATGTCTAATCAAGTAAACAAGGACAGTCCAAACAAGCATTTGTCAAGTGTCTGCAGATGAATTGTGAATTACAAATCAGAGCGGAGGTTTGAGAAATGGACTTCAGAAGTCCCAGAATCACAGAACACATGGAGTTGGAAGGGATCTGCAAGGATCATCAGCTGAGTCCAATTCCCAGCTCTGCACAGGACACCCCACAGAATCACAGTAATCATGTGCATGAGAGCATTGTCCAAAGGTTTCTGGGAACTCTGTCAGGCTTGGTCCTGTGATCACTTCCCTGAAGAGCCTGTTCCAGAGCACAACACCCTCTGGGTGAAAAACCTTTTCCAATCCAACTTAAACATTCCCCAACTCAGCTTCATGCCATTTCCTCAAGTCCTGTCACTATGTGAACAACAGTGAAGTCACAACACTGAAGAGATCAGTACCTGCTCCTCCCACTTCCCCTCTGAGGAAGCTGTAACTGCAAGGAGGTCTCCCCTCAATCTCCTCCAGGCTGAACAGACCTAGTGCCCTCAGCCACTCCCCATAAGGCTTCCCCTCTAGACTCTGTACACTGCTGATTCATATTCAACTTGCTATTGACCAAGATGTGCAGGTCCCTTTCCACAGTGCTGCTCTGCAGCCTCTTGTTCTCTAGCTTATACACATTACCCTTCTCTGTTCCAAGCTAGTTTAAAGCTGTCAACAAGCCCCACTACCCCCTACACTAGGACCCTTTTTCCCCTCTGAGAAAGGCACATCACATCAGGTGTCAGTGGAACAGGTGTTGAGTAGATTATCCCATGGTGAAAAACACCAAAATTTATTCAAGTACACAACAGAGCCACGTGTTGACCTGGTGGATCTGTCTATTTCTATAAATATTATTCCTTGTTACTGGAAGTCAGTTGAGATGGCAACTGTAAACTACATTTCAAGGCATCCACTTTTATGTTCTGTACATTAGATAAGTTCCGCAAATCTGTTGAATAAAATACAACCTAAATAATTTGTGCTCTTATTAAGACCCACTGCCTAAACTAGAAAACAGCGAGGAAAGAAGCAAGACAAAGACCTAGATTTGAACCCACCCCTATACTTTAATCAAGTGGTATTTGATTTATTGCAAACCTAAGTATTGCAGAAATACTTGTAAAGGCTGAATTTAAATATATACACATTCCAAATGAGAGTGTGCATTACATGAAGATGTTTAAACAAAAGCTATGCCACAAAGAGCAAGGACAAAAATAAAGCTAGGATGTATCATGCAAGTGCAGGAAAAAAAATGTCCAGTCCAAGAGGAAAGGCAAGTTTGAGAAATATGATTAGTTTTCAAACAAACTGTTAGAATCAATGCAAAGTAAGGAAAGCAGAAACCCCTGAGAAATATTAAACCTGCAATGGAAAGAAAGGCCTTAGATAAGTACAACCATCTCTTGACAGCCTCTTAGGCTAGAATCAGTGATACAAGACTAATGTCCCAACCATTTGGACCCAGTTTCTTCATCTCTCAGAAACGAGATTTTAATGCTGAAGGCATCATTTAGTCGTAGAAAACAGAACAAAAACCTTTTCACAGCAACTTAAAATTAGTCTTTGAGTTCCTGTTCATAAATCACTTCCTCTTAAGAAATGCCTAAATACACCTTCTCAACATATGTTTTTTCATGTTTATCCAGAAAACTTAACAGACCTTTTTAAATTAATGAAATTTAATGTATTCCTTCCTGTTTGATTTTAAACCTAAACACACTGTATATATCAACTTTGTTTCTGCAAAGATAACACTGAATTTTCAGCTTCTTATGATAAATATTTTAAGGCAAATTGTGATTTTAAAAAGTTAATTTTTTTGACAGGTAAAACAACTTACAAAATACAATCCAAGTAGGGGATGACAGCTTGCTTACTAGTGTTCCACAAGATGCTCTGCTTGTCAGTGAAAATACTCATTTTCATTAACCTTACCACACAAAGTTAGAATGTAGCTATTGGGTACAAAGTGCTGCTTTAACTAGAGGAAATTGTGTCCTATTAAGGACTCCAAATAAGACCCCTTTTCAAATATTACTAAATTTTCCAGACATATTGGAAAAGTAGTTGAGAGCAATTCAAATACTGAAAATATAGTTGTGCTGCACTGAAGTAGACTAAAATCAAATGAAAGTAAATTAGTATGAATTTCCTCTTTGCTTTTGCACTCTTAGAACTAGTACAGCTCCCATAACCACAGGAGCTTGTTCTGAGGCTATTCTGAATGCAGTAATAATCCTAAGCAGGTGACATAGTATTTGCACAGGCTCAGTAATGAGTGAGTAACACTCAAAGACACACACAAAGGTTTAGATCCAAGTGGCAACTAATATGTACACTAGTTAATCAGTATCATGGTGAGGAAATACAGAGAAACAGAAAATTTTAAGAGGTAAGAGCTAAAACAGAGTGTTGCTAAAAACAACTATTGCTTGAGATCTTAGCAGAGCAGGAAAAGAATCTTCCAAGACTGCAGGTTCCTACAAAATTATCCCAGTTATTCTAATTTGTATTATTTAAGAAACTCATATGTGGGGCGTGGGTTTTACTGCATAAATTACTACTAATTACAAAAGTTTCAAGAATGAAAAACTTTGCAATATTTGTAAAGTAACAACAAATCTTCTGGAAGCAAAGTGGTCTTAAAGTTATTATTTTTTAACTGAGAGCTTTCAACAGCATAGCCCAAACACCTAGCAGAAGTTATAGTAATGTCTTTCATAATTACAGCCTACCATTATTCTAAGCTTAGAGAGGTAGTCAAATGCCATTGCAAAGATGAACAATCAAAAACATTTGATTTGAACAAGCAATTTGCATATTACATCACCTGCACTGAGGTATAAAAGTGAACATAAAACCCTAAATATCAAGCAAACTATCAAGGTTACTCAGCAGAAAGAGTGCTAAAATATGGAATCAAAAGTTCATAACATTCAGCATTTCACTAGGCCATCACGAAAGCAGAATTAACAATTCAAATTTGTTGCTGCCTCCTTAGCAAGGAACTAAATGAGACAACATGAAAATCTGAGTACTGAAGCCCTGTTTACTTGAATTTTATTTACATACAACTATTTCAAACCTAGATCCCTGAATTCAGGAAATTATTTTAAAGAGACAGTCCTCATTCAGAAGATTCAGGAACCATAGGAATTTAAAAAATATTTAATGGATTTACAGTAGTAACATTGGAACAGATTGTGACTTTTTTTAAGCAGTCCTCATTACCTGATACAGTGTGTCTAAAGTGACAGGGCAAAAAACATTTTCAACAAGGACTCGAAGAACAGAACCATGACTTGGTAGGACCCCACCTTCAGCAGCAAAAGCACTTGTAATACCCAGGTTTCCATGCTGCACAGCATTCATACATTGTGGTGCAGGTTGGGGTCTCTGAAATTAAGTCATAGCAGAGAGTGCAGTTATTTTACATACAAATTATTCATACTGAAACAAAGTTCTCCTAAATGAAAAGGACATAAAAAATAACTTCATAAAACCATATTTCCTTCATCTTATTCATTAAAATCCCACATTTATAAATCATAACTCTTACTTTCCATGCTCCTCCCTTACAACTAGTCAGTGTAATTCACAGAATTACAACTATTTTTTTGTCAAACTGCTACTACTTTCTGCGATTACAGAAGTCTTTTCACTTGTTTTCCATGGGTTTTCCCCAAAGAGGTCTTCGTACTTCCTGTGAGTAGCAAGACTATGGAGAGATGTTCCTTTTCAGATGCAGTATTGTGACTTAAAGTCACGTCTCAGCTACACTATTTCTTTGGAAGACAGATTTAACAGGGCACCCGGTACATGTTACTTAGTTTCAGAAAAATATAACCCTGCAAAATAATCTGTACTTCAGGGCTCAGCCTAGGGACTGGGACAGTAACAGTATTCAGCTGCTCTACTAGGATCTCTTTAAAATTTAGATATAACTCAAATATAAGTGCCAAACAACTTATTTTCAAAAGCAGACAATGTTGTTATAGAAGAAAGCAAGTTGAAAATACTCAGAAAGAGACCCAAGCAGTCTTATTTGCAAATACACATATAGTTTTCCTGAGGCTCTCACGCAAACTACATCCTTAAAACAAAAACCTTGTCATTTGTTCGGTTTTGCAGATAACAAACAGATAGCAATCTTAGATGAGGAAAGAGACAAATAACATTTACCAGACTGTCAAGCTTGCAAGACTTGTGTGACTTTTGTGCCAGCACAGATGAATGATTTATACCCAAATCACTACTGTCAACATTCTTCCAGGAAAAAAAAAATCATTATATATCCATCACAGTATACAACTTATGTATCTAAATGGGAAGTCAATTGAAATTCATCCAGGAATCTAAAATCCAGCATTAACCCCTAGGGTACTCTGCCAGTGACTGGACCCCAGCTTTATGCCATTGGTCACAACCATTTCAGCCTTTCAAATCACTTCACAGTTCACTTAACTAGACTGCATAAATCAGTTCATCTATTCAGATGTTATTGGAAACAAAACCAAAAGTCTTGGCAAAGTCAAGATGAACAATAACCCCTTGTCTTGTCCATCAATCCAGCCATCTCACCATAAAAGGCCATCACATTGGTTAGCATAAAGTCCTTTTAAAAACTATGCTTCACTATGACTAACCACTTTCTCCTCCTTAGAATGTTTGGAGATAGTTTCCAGAATGAGTTGCTCCATTCCTTACCCAGGAACCAAAGTAAGGCTGATCAAGCAGTGGTTCCCCAGATCTTTCTTTTCATCTTCCTTGCTATCCTTTCTTAAGATAGGACATGGAAGGATTTTCTTTTTTCTAGTCCTCAGTAACTTTTTCCAACTACCATGACATTTTCAAGATTGTACATTGGCAGTGCAATGACACCAATCTGCTCCCTCAGCATTCAAAAGTGTATCTCACTAGGGCCATAGACTTTTCGTTTATCAAATTAATTTAAATGTTCTCTAATGTTATTTTTTTCTACTTCCTTCATCAAGACTTTTCCACTCTTCTCAAGCGCAAGTCTTAACCACCACAGGCTGCCAAGAAGGCTCTCGGTAATTCAGCCTTTTCCACCTCTGTCCCTGCCCCATTCAGCAGCAGGCCTACATATTTTTTTAGAAAAAAGAAATCTTATTTCTACTGCTGATATACCTCAAGGAACCAAACTTGCTGCTTTTCTTGCTGCACATCTCTCATCAGAGTCAACTCCATGTAGCCTTTGACTTCCCTAACCATATCCCTGCGTGTTTAGATAATGCTCTATAATCTTCCTGAGGCATCTGTTTATGATTCCAAGTGTCCTATGCCTCTCTTCTATCTTTAAACCCAATCAGGAGCTCCTTGTTCATACAAGCAGTCCTCCTGCCACCTTCACTTGATTTCATGGTCATTATGGTGAACTACTTTTGAACTTGAGCTCCTTCACAATAATTTTACAGATTTTGAAAAGACTCTCTCTGTAAGAAGTTACTGAAATTATATCTATATCAGAATTTGTCTACTGGTATAATGAAGAGCAGCCTGTCTATTTACTAGTGTTGTGGTTTAACTCTGGCATGCAGCAAAGTGCCACACAACTGCTCAGTCACTTTCCCTTAGCACAACAAGGAGAGGGAATTGGAAGCACAGAAGTGAGAAAACTCATGGGCTCATTTACAGACAGTTTAATAGGCAAAGCAATAGTTGCATGTGCAAGGCAAAAAAAAGGTGTTTAAACACTTCCCCCATTGGCAGAGAGGTGTTTAAACATTTCCAAGAAAGCAGGAACTTCATTTAGTTTAACAATTACTTGGAAAGAAAAAGGCCTCAACTCTGAACATCCCTCCTTCCTTGTCCTTCCCTCAGCTTTCAGTGCTGAGCCCAGCATCATATAGTGTGGGACATCCCCTGGGTCAGTTGGGATCAACTGTCCTAGTTGAGACCCTTTCCATCTTCTTGTGTACTACCACTAGCAGGGCAAGGTGAGAAGCAGAAAACACCTTAATACTTTCTGTATTAACACATGCATTCACAACTCATGCAATTATATCCTATTAAACAGAAATATTGTACTTACAGCCTGATTAGGTTGATTGTCAATCCTAAGTTCCTTGTAATGGGAATATTGCATATAAACTGGCTGATTGTGGAGGAGGGGTGTAGCAAGAGCGTAGCAATTCACCATAGAAACAGCAGCATCTATGGAAGCCATTTCCAAAAATGCCTGCAACCAATACATAGCTGATTTCAATGTTGTTTTTGTTTACAAGAGAGACAAAAGCATAACTTTTTCCCAATTCCACTCTCACTACAAAAAGATTATGTGAAAGTACAATACTGATTTACTCAGCCATAGAATGCATTTGTGTGTCCATGTTTATGGGGCTGTTTTATTCAATTTGTGGGGTTTCTTAGAGAGTTTTACATTGTAAGTACATTATGTCATTTAAGAAGAGGTAGAATGAGTATGACATATGGAAAGAAATACTGCTAAAAGTACTACGCTACTAATCAATTTGTTAAATTCCTGAAATCAAGCACTATTACTTAGGCAGCTGATATGCATAGTGAATGCAAAAGCTGGAACAGAACATTAAACATCCATTAGCTTATGCATTCTATTAATCCAGCTCAGTGCTCCAGACAATTTTTTCAATGAATGCTTATTATTTTTAGGATTTCTGTGCTTCTTCGTGATACAAACTACTCTGCCACATCTAACAGGATTAAAAAATTACATGCATGTTAGTAACTTAAGCAGGCAGGCTCTTTGAAGACATATGTCATCAACAGTGACATCTATCTTTATCACCTATATGTTCTCACATAAAGTGGATATAATGTTTAACAGTACTATTAACAAATGTTTAGTTCATTATGTAATCCAAAAGCATATTAAAAACTTAAAATAAATTTCAAAACATCCTTTCACATTTAAAAATGTGAAAATCTTCTGCTATCAATGAAATATTTAGACATTGTTGCAATCATTTCACCCAAGGTCAAGATCAAAATTATCATAACATGAACCACATCTTCAGTCTTGCTCTTGTTATTGAAACATTGTAAAGCACATACCTGACCTTTCCCTCTTAGCATCAAGACATTTGTTACTTTGCCAAAAGGGACACCTAATGAAATAACTTCTGCTTCAGTAACACCATCTGGAATTTGACGAATATGAATGACACGTGAAGGGGAACATAGTGATCTTCTTCCTTGACTTTTTGTCTTCTCATTACCTAAAATATTTTAGGGAGGGAGACAGAAAAGTAAACAAGACAAACTCATTGCACAGTGTACACGTCAAAACCTAAAGGAGAGAAACTGCTGCCTTAGCACTGACATTGACTTAGGTACTTAGTTCTTCAAACCCTGTGAAAAGATATTTCATATCATACAAATGGACAGTGTAAGAAGATATCATCAACTATTTCAAATCTTGATAGCAAGGGGAGGGTGGGGTATGTCTGGCTTTGCTTTGGACTTGTTTGTTTATTTTCTGAAGATTTGGTTTTAGTTTGCTGTTGTTTTGGTTTTTTTTAATGGGAGGTGAGTAGCTTCTCCCCAGATGCCTACATAAGGTATTTACAAAATGTTAGTTGCACAAAAGAGGGGAAAGTCCCAATTGGGAGGTAATATATTAATTTTCCTTTTATCACCAACTTATCTTTCTGTGACTGAATGGCTAACTCGAGGTTTTGGGTTTGTTTTTACTTTATTAAAGAAAGCCTGCTGTTCCAAATTATTTTAAGTTTTAAAAAGTCTTCCAAAAAGATAGCATGAAATCCACACAAACTCTTACATCTTCCACTTTGACATACTGCCAGAAGTGTGGTTTTTCTTGGACATATGCCTGTTTGGATCCTGTAAGGGACTGATCTGGATTGGTAAGTGACCAATGACTGCATTTCAGGAACTTTACTCAGTATCCTTGAGAGCACTTTAAAGCAGCACACCATATCTGGAACAAGTATATTGTTCTAGAAGCAGTTGCAATGGAGGCAAGAAAGATAGCCTTAATAGCTAATCTGTTGCATTTAGTCTTCCAAGGAAAAATGCAAAAGATTGGCAGAAATTTCTGTGTGAGCTATATAAGAAATTTCAGATTTTGCTGTAGGTTTTGCATGCAGTCTAAGGCTGAGAACTGGCTCACACAAGTCATTCTGCATAAGGATGTTTACAGAGAGTCTTTTTATTACTTGAAGACTGTAAAATTTTAAGTTGGATGATCAAAGCCCCAACCATACCACACTTAACAATTCTCCCACCTGTAAAACTGAAAAGTCTGTTATGCATTGATTTTTCCATCAAGAAGTTTTAAATGGCTTCATGTGCTCTGTATGCATTCTGAAAAATGCGAACTTTAAGACAAACATGACCATATTAAACATATTGGTACCAAGACATGACAGGACATATTACTAGTAAACTCTAACAACCTATTTTGTTACTTTTCAGGTCCTAAATGGACAAGATGTCCCTGACTTAATACTAAGTCAAGGAATGCTGGACCAAAGGAAACAGGAAATGAAGCCTAGTATGAGTTTTCCTTTTAGTTTTATATAAGACAGACTTGCAGAAGCAGTATCTTCTGGGTTCTGACACACTGTCAGAGGTGACAAAATGGAGCTAAGTGGCAAACTGTTGCAGTGCTTCTTTTCTTGTGAAACTTTAGCTAAGTTACCAAATCGGCAATAAAAGCTAGCACATCTCAAATATAAAACCTCATAGTTTTTAAACCATGCTTCTTTCTCCAGCTGTGGTTTGATACTAATTTTGATGCAGAGTGATAACCATCTGTATCTTCCAACATCTAAATTTCCAAATTGATTCAACATTTCTTTAAAGCATGCCAAAGGTGATCACCTTTCTGAATTGTACTCTCAATTGAGTGAAAGTAAAAAATGCCTTCAGACAGACCAAAAGAAGCCTTATGAAAAGGCTTATGAAAATTGGTTCCTGATGTACAAAGGGAAGCTCATTACAATCACAATTCATGACTGGTACAAATGTATTTCCTCAGCAGCCTGAGGTAGAGAGGTACACATTTTAGATACGTGACCCACCAGACCAAAAAAGCGCCAGACCCCCAAACATAACAAAAAACAAGTCCTGCAGCTGGAGCAACTGTATTGGGTAAAAAGATGCATTTCAAGAGTGACCATATTTAATTTTAGATTTATATGATTATTAATGAGAATGCCTACTAATAGATCCCAAAAACCTCTATATCATTTAGATACCTTGGATATCACTGTGAAGGATCAGTCATTGCACTGTTAATTAATAGTATATACTTCAGCTATTACATTGCTGAGCTATAAGCTAATGCTATTTCAAGCCAAGCAGAAACATTTGGACATCACATTGAATTGATCAGCAGAAGTATAAACAACCTGACATGTGCAAGTCAAAGAAATCAAAAAGAAAAATCTTCAAGTTAGCTCCTCAGACTCTTCCTTCTTCCCCACTGAAAATATAGCAAGTATTAGACACTTACCAAAAGGTGATCTGCTCTGTCCTTTGCCCTGATATAAAATAAACTATTTGGAAACCACTGCTGACAGGTAATTGTCTACATCATGATTTAGTTAATTTATTTGACATAAAGTTACTTCATGCAACCATGGGTCATTAACACTCCGTGTACACCTAATGCTGGAAGTAATATTACCAAAAGTAGTAACAGCTTTCTCTCACTTTCAACTTCCTGTCTGATCTAAAACTACAGGTAAACAAACACATACACTTACTGCATCTTCCTCAACACACACACACACAAAACAACAAAGGAAAAAAAAAAACAACACAGAGAAAGAACAGCTGAAGAACTTTGAGGTTTTTTTTTTCATGTATACCTGTAGCTGGAGTAGAATTGCTCATGGTAGAAGGTCTATTACTGACACCAGAGGCAACTTGTCAGGACCACACTAAAGAAATAAAAGACAAGATTACTAGTAAAAGCTGTTACAGAGAAAGCTCGATGTAAAAGTGCAACAACTTCCTTTACTTATTCTTCCCAAGAACACCTCCTTCCTATACACAATACCCACAACAGCCAAGAACTCGTTTTTCAGGGAAAAAAAAAATCAACAACATAACTGAATTTATTGATTTATTGAGACATGGGAAAAAGTTATGTTACACTTAATATTTAAATCTATCTCACTACAGTTCACTTTTTAAAATACCAAGAATAACATATGCTTAAGAAAATAAATGAGCTGGCTGCAGGCTTTGCGTCTGCAATACAACATTACTTCCACAAATGCACAGTCACACAGGTAAAGTCTGCCTTTGCAACAGGACACAGGGGATCTTGAGCACAACTAATTTGAGACATATTTAAACAAACCCATGGCACATTTAAAAAAAATCTGGTTTCAGTACATTTTTTTTAAAATACATATGACTTACCATCAAATTCTTAGGACAAAGATCAAAGTATTTACTTTAAGAATGTTAACAATTTGAGGTTCTAACTACTGACAGAAAAGAATTTGAGTACCACAGGTCTGTCATTCAAAAATCAGCATCTAGCTCCAGTTATGTCTGTTTACTCATTCAGACTGCTGTAATATCCCAGCCAAGCATCAGCTTCAAAACACCAAGAAACAAGGTGCACCTTGAACAAACAAACACCTCTGAAAGGCAGTTGCATTTCCTGAAACTTTCACCACTCTCTTCCATAAAAGAATTTTAATGAAAAATAAAGACCAAGGAAGTGATTCTACATGATGGAATAAGTTGATCTAAACAGCTTCTCATCACTTTGGTGGAAAGAGAACTTCCCACTGCCCTTGGTCCAGTATTCCCACATGACCATGAACTATTTATCTTGCATCAAGTCCAGTGCCCAAGAGTTTTCCTATGAGGTTAATCAATTCTCCAGCCTACCAGCATTCTAAGCTGAGCTAGACTAGTTATTCAGCTGAAAGAAATGTTGAGAAGTGGCAAGATCCACTGCAAAGGGGTAGGGATAAGTCATCATGTTGGCTTGCATCGGCTGCAAAAACACTGCTCAGAGTACTGGCTTATATGGGGTCTGTGCTAAAAGGAGCAATTAGGTTCCCCTCCTCCTTGTTAACCATGTGTTCCTGCTGCTTCCCTAGTGTGAGAAAGTCATTCACAACAGAAGACTGTGACTAGGCTAGGGTGCTTAAAAACCTTTTTAGCCAAATTTAGCTGCTCATGAAGGAGCACAGGTGTTAGTGTGGATGGAAGAAAACATGAGTGTGTTCACTCTTCTCCAGTAAGAGCAGAGACTTATTTTAACCATGAAACTACATCTTAACAGTATATGTAAGTACAACATATAATTGTGACAAACAGCAAAATCATTTTTACATTAAGAGAACTAAAAAAATATAAACCCTGTATTTTAAAGAAATGTTAATTAATTGGTTACTAGATGTCATGCATATCACACTGCACTTGCACAAATACTAGAATGAAATTAATATGCAATACTGATATTAATTTTTAACTATTATCACTACACTGAGTATACCAGCACTCGTATTGCACCTAAAGAGCATATTTTGATTGTAAAATGCATATCATGCTAATTAAACAAAAGCTGTATGTGCAGATGTAGTAGAAAGTATAAATTATGGTCCTTTATTACACTAAACCTTCCTTTTACTTACTGGAGGCAGGAAGAAAAACTGCTACTGATGCAACTCCTGTTGGAGGCTTTGTTTCAGTAAAGTGGAGGCTTTAATTTGGTTTTTAACTTGCATTTATTCAACAGAAGAAACCTCTGCATATTTCCAGAAGGCTGTAAAAAAATGTGGTGTATTACCACGTTCAACATATATTCTTACAAACTCATATTTAATTTTATATACACTGGTATTTAAAAAAACACCTCAGACATTTTCAGAAGAAAATATTTTCCAACCTCTTCCATTTTTAGCACACAAAGAAACACAATGGAGATGGCTGCAGTGACCTGTTTTACAACTCTTTGTGTAACTGGCCTGTATTCATAAAACTGAAGCTGTAGCTCACTGCAGCACACAATGAACTGCTGCTCCAGGATGGTGGACTAAACCACTTTGACAGGAGAAAAATTATACCAAAATTACAACATTCATCCATGACATGTGTCAGTACTTAAAACTGACACATCATTCAGTCACTACATCCTAAGACAGTTCCCTAGATTGTGCCATTACACTGACAACCATTAACCCACTACAGCAGCGAAAACACAAAGGAACTCTATAAACCCCAAGCTCATCACCTATGAAACTGTTTTATTTGGTTTAATAAAAGATCAACAAAGCAATACAGAGAACCATCATAATTTCAAATGTCTAACTGTCTTCATATCTTCAAACTGATATAAGGAGTATTTTTTTAAATTACATACTTTCAACTATATTTTTATTAAAAAAACCAAAACAAAACAATTCAATCAAGACACCGTAGAATAATTGGCCTGGCCTAGGCTTGCTAAGTCTAGAGCCCTGACTACAAAACTTAGTTTCTTACAGAAGAATTTAGAATCTTACCTGAAGATCTTTGTTATACTTTTTGTTATTGTCTGAATGCTCCACTGAAACACTGCTCCAATTTTTAACTTTTGATATCAATACGAAGTTATATATCCACCCAAACAATTACAGCACATTTATTAACTACAGCATGCCCCTTGGAAGGATGTAGTATATAAAAACTGCTAGGAATGCCACTGTTTTTGCAGGTAGCTGATCAAGGTATTTCTCAGGTACAAGAATACTAAAAAGATGCTTTTCATCATCTCCTTGTTTAGCCAGCTTATAAATGATAACCCTTCTTACTCACTGACTGAAATCAAAACCAAACCAAATGCAAAAATGTTCTAGAAGATCACAAAGATGAACTGACACCATGGCAGTTGCACAAGTTGAAGTACAAAATGTCTATGTGATAGTCTGGACGGAAGAAAAAGACAACATTTACTTCTTCAGTGTTTTCACAACTCTGCTCATATAGAATACTGAAAGAGATTACAAAAATTCAATCTCTTTCTTTCCCACATAGAGGTGAAAGAGATATTTTTAAAATACTTTGTAACATAAAGCATTTAATGTAGTGACAAAGATCTGCTATGGGCTGCTCTGGGTTTGCAAGGCCTTTAGTGCTGAAAAACTCTACACAATAGGGTAGTGTGCCCTAGATAATATTTTAGAGGAATCTAATTGAATCTTTCCACAGAGGTTAGAGTCCCACTATGTCCCTAATCTCTCTCTGTACATGAGTCTTCCACTAGTTACTTCTTAGTTATTCAGTATTTAAGTCCAGCTGAAAAGAAAGAGCAGCCAAATCCTGCTTATAAAGCTAGCTTGACATCCTTCCCTGTCCACAGTTCATAGACACTTGACAAGCACCTCTTTAAGCAGACAGGAGCTCACACTGCCCTTGTGCCACCACATCCATTTCAGCTTTCACAGCACAACTGTGAGGTAAGACAGCTGCTTAGCCTCAGCGAGCTGCTTGCACCAGATCTCTGTGAGGCCACACAGTGAAAGTGAACAGGCAGGCAGGACGAGTAACCATGCTGCCAAACCCTTCCCTGATGTACACTTCTTCCAGCACAAAGCCTACCTCAGAGAAAGCAGCACCTGCTTTCTGAGTGCCAGGACTGTACATGGTGAATATTCCTTCTTTCAGACTGTGATAAACAAGGTGAATGGAATAGCTCAAAAAAAGGACAGCTACCAAAGCAAGGCTGCAACATCCTCCTCTATTCCAGCACTCATTCCATCATTCCAAACACATTCATCATCTCCTAAGATCTTAAGACTCCCTTTTTTACACCATAAGACTTTCTACCTCTCCTAGTTCAAGGCAGCATTTTAACATTTTTTTGGGGATTATTACTTGGCTATAGGCAAGGCAAGAGCAATAGAAGAGTTACAACCGGATTAAGTTTATTCTTTCCTTGTATTATTAAGTAGGAACTAGAAACCAGGTGCTTAGAAAGCTCAGTTTGATTTTGGACATTTCCTTAAAAACAGGTAATCTATAGTGCTGAGTAAAAAGTCAAATAAAAGGCCACCACAAAGTGTGAAATTCAATAATAGGTTAATGAAACAAAGTAGTCTTCCATATCTACCAGATCAATTTCCTTGACTAAATAAGGCATATTACACAACTGACTACAGAAACAGGTGCCTGCCCTGAAACTACTTCAGCTGTTTTATGATTTTTTAAAATTCTGATAATAATTTATGCTAATGATTCTGCAATTCCAGGACAAAACCCACTGCATTCATAGCAAAAAACAAACATCTGAAAATCAGGAACTCTAAGTTTCCAAAATCTTTGTGAGTCACATATAGTTGGAAACAGAAGGGTAAGTCTAGTACTGCAAAATCCTTCTTTAGAACATGTCCACATGTTAAAACTATAGCAGATATCTATTTAGCATTACTTCTGGAATCACTGAATACTATAAACAATCTTTTAATTTCTAAAAAAGCTGTAAGCAACTCCCTTATTATCTCCCCTCAGCATTCAGCTACAGTATTTTCCTCCCCTCTCATTTTCTAGAAGTCACAAATTCTTCAGTACAGTTCAATTAATTAGAAATGGGATAGTTCCAGAGAAACTTACATTTATATTGATGATTTTCCTAGAATTTAGCTAGTCATCTTTCTATGTTATTATTTTTAAGTCAACAATAAGGAAGAATATGATCATTATGAAAAAAAGAGCATGGGCAATTTTAATGGAAAATAATTATTTCAAAAAAGACCTCTCTCCATGCATGTAAATTAAAACTGTTACATTCTTCTATGAGATTCTACATGGCAGAACAAATTAATTACTTGAAATTTGTCCCAAAAGGGCAAATTTCAAAACATGACAATTTCAAGCTATACCAGTGATAACCATAGTTATATTTAAACTAACTGTTCTACTGCATACTTTATTAATTTTTATAGAATCTGACTGCGAAAACAAAAGCTAAGGGTATGAGAAGAAAGAAAATTTCCTTTATCTTCTACTTCTGTAGCATGTCTCTAGATAATTACTATATTAATTTACTCTTTCTTCCTCTTTCATGTTTGCAAAGGAGATGCAGCTCCTACTTCCAAAATGGGGATTTAATATGGAGTACAATGCTGTTGGTGCCAAAATAAAGATTTCAAAGAAAGTGGGGAAATTTCAAAACCATGTACTTGTACTAAAAATAAACTGACCTTACATAGATAAAGCCTACCATTTCAGTAAGCTGAAGAAGAAATTAATTATAGGCAATGATCACATATAAGAAAACCTCTTTTCCTCTGCTGTCAAGACCCCTCCCAAACACAGGCTCAAGCTGCTGATCGCCAGCCACCCTAGAAGCACTGTCTTAGCACTGATGGCTGCTCTTCTGTAGGCCAGCATGCTCACTGGCTCTGCCAGCAACATTGCTTGCTCCACGGCCTCTCTTGTCAACTACTGAAGCTCGCTCCTGTACTGGTAACAAGGTACTGCACACCTTCAAAGAAGTATGTAACAGTAATTAAAATGTTAAGAGAAAAACATTATGTATTTTGCATTTATGCTAGATACAGAGCAAGAACATAAGGAAATAACATTTTCCTCCTGAAGATGCAAAATATGCCAAAGCAACCTTGATCACATGATTATCAAGAGCTGTAAAATTAAGAGTGACCAGCTTAGTTTTTTAATTAATACAAAATACGGACTTTCATTCTTAATGTCAGAAATACCTCTATGTAGTGTGAAAGCCTTAAGCTCATCCAAAAGGACAATAAGCCATATAGCATTTTGAATATTCCAGAAATCCAGCAGGCATCGTGACACAGTGGCAGAGCTTTCTTTGAAACTGTCATCAAAGATGACTGCTTTTTTTTGTGATATCATCACTCATTTACAATTTCCACAAATATTATTTTCTGACAGTATAAATACAAACTTGACTGAAAATAAAGATTGATGTCTATGCTTCCTAGGTAGCTTAAGCCTTAAATATGTGATGATTAAGTTTTCCTCAAGAGTAAACACAGGTTTTTTGTGAAGAAAATTTACTTAAGTTACTGCAATTTACTCCTTCCACATATATATTTTTTTCAAATTATCAAGAGAACACTTAACACAATCCTTAATAAAAGTCTTCATTCTTATCCTTAATAAGCAAGTGAATATGGAAACATATCTATAAATAAACACCAAACAGAATGAAGTGTACAGATGTACAGATGAAGATACTAGGCTTTAAATTTAAAGGCTTTAAAGTCAGAAATGTATCTATACAATGCCATATTGTGTACGGTATTGCATAATTTTACACTTCACTATGCACAAGTCATGACATAAACATACAGGATCCCGAACAAACCACCAGTAAGCTGTCTTCCCTTGACTTTGGTCAGAAGAAAATTTACATAGCCTTATAAAGTACCATAACTTGACAATCTGGTTTATAATTTGTTATTAAAGGTCAAAATCAAGAAAGAAGAACAGCTGAAAGAAACCATTACACCAATGCCAAACAATATGGTAGCAGCAAAACCCAGGAGGGATTTTAACTAAAGAACTAGTGTGTGAAAGGCTATAAATGAGATTCTTCCATTTAAACTAACTGCTACGTGATCTGTAACAACAGATCATCTGTAACAACAGTTATGCTATGTAATAACACATTTAAAAAAATTTAAAAAAAGATTGAAAGATATTAGCAAATTACTCAAAGGTGATGGTAAACAGCTTAAAGGAAGAAAAAAACCCCACTGTGATACAAGTAAAAATGTGACGAACTGTGGATTATTTTCTTTCCTCTTGCAAAGGAAATAATTTAACTTGCATAGCATGAAGAGAAAGAAAGGTAGCTGGATCACAACAGCAATCAAAATTTCTGCAAAATTGCTATCTGAAGCATCCCTTTTAGCATTCATTTTTAACTCTAGTTCCTTCTGAAAACAAAGATTCCAGGATACAGTGTTTATCAGCAGCTCTACCCTGCAGCACAAAAGACATCTACTTTTGTTACTTTGATTCCTATTGTTTTGCAGAAGTAAATATACACAGCTTAGTTTAAGAAAAAATTATTGGGGGTGGGGGGAGGAAACTCACTTCCCATGCATCCAAAAACCACCACAGATTCATAGGAAGATTCCAAAAAGATTTGACTCTTAACTGATCGATCATTTAACTTGAAAGCATGAAACTAATTTATCTAACTTACAAACTTTCAGAGCCTAACAAATAGTTTTAAAAAAATCTTTCTAGTCTCAACTAAACTGTGACACTTGAAAGACACATGTTCTTGACTGTATGGTTTTTGTCTATTGAATTTTCTTCACAATTAAAGACTTCTTCACAATTAAATATTTCATCCAAAAGAGAGGAAATTTTACTTTTTTTTTTTTTAAGTAAATTCATATGCAGAAACACTCATTTAAATCTAAGAATTGCACACTTAAAGTAAAGAGGTTGGAAAGAAATAAAAGTCTGTTTGATGATATGTATCACATAAATTATGAGTTGAATAATTGTCCTACCACATGAAAGACTTGTCTTAGGATCAACAATAGATTCAATATTTTTATTCACAAGCTGAAGTTTTAATTACTCCTTAATGCTTTCTGGGAGAGTAGTGCTGCATGCAAGGAAAACATGGTCACAACTATGAGCCCCACAGCTCTTGTCCTTTCTGTCTCGTGTATTTAGTTTCCTCTGTGCTTTGCAATGTTTCTTATCAATTTCTCACTCTAAGAAACTCTCTCATGCAGTGGTCTGTGCTTCTCAGGCCCACTTTCACTTCATCTTTTGGAAAAATTAGTAATAAACTAGCCCCTGTAAGGATCATACCTTAAAAGAAAGCTTCTGTATTAATACACTAGTTACATAAATGAGGGGAAAGTCATAATCTCAGCCTGTTGGCAGACACAGTAGACAGCACAGCATCAGTAAATCTCTATTTTTGTTTACATCTCCCCCTATCCAGAAAACATACGTCTTTAGTTGAAACCAGTGTTTCATCTTTTCAGCATACATGGTAAAGGACAAGTTCTCCTTACTCATTCTTTCATCACACAACATGAACTTTTCCCTTCAGTTTTACTTCACAGTGATAAATCATCTAACAGTCTTCATTTCTTCCACCTCTCAATGGAACACACAACTTAGTTGGTAAAAAAATTATTTTTCCTTGATTAAAGTGTACTGTGAAGTAATTTAACAGTAAAACATACAACCAGCTATGGAAGAAACATGATTTTGAGAAGAAAACCTATGAAGCAAATACAACTCCTGAATTTTATCAATAATTAAATCCATGCTCCCTATTAATACTCTGTGCTTTATAAAATACTGTTTTTTAAACAAGTTATCACCTTTGCAAAGTCTACAGTTTTAAATTTGACCGCTTGGTTGAAAACTGAATGACTTAACACTTCTCAGTCTAGAACAGTTCAAATCTGGTCTTTGGATTGCATGCTTTGAGAACCCTGGATCCTGCTGAAACACTGCTTTATGTGTGTGTGTGTGTGTGTGTATTCTGTGATGTTTTCCTTATATTTAAAGGCACACATTGAAACACCAACAAGTACATGATAAACAGCTCCTCTGAGAGAGCACAACATCCTTCACAACACACTAGGCTACACTTGTTACACACATGCACTAAAACATCAATTTTGTACACAAAACAGCTGAATCCTATATGTCCAAAATAAGTTCACAAAAATAAAAATTCTAATGAATTATAATGTCACTTCAGGATTCTACACCAGAGACTGCATTTATTGTCCACTCCTCAGCCCTACAGAGACCAACCACTATACACCAAAACCAAGCTATATAGAGCAGATGCTACAGAGGACCAGTACAGATAGAGTGCCTTTTCATATATACACATAAGTCCCATTACTGTACATACATATAAATATACATACAGTTGAAACTTATGTGATGACAAGACAAAAACTACCATGAGCAAACTGATCACCCTACAGACAGTACATTATGGGGCATTGCAGGAAAGATTCAGCAATGAAGAGTTATTTTCAAGTCACTTTCACACTTTTAAAGCACTCAATTTTACTTCCACACATTTGTTTTCTATTTTAGAAAACTGTTGTACACTTACAAGCAGATTGTACACAGCAGAAGGAAATTAGATAGAAAGAGAAACTTCTATGACAGAATTTCAAACTAATGACAATTATGATAACTTAGTTTCTATATCAGGTTTTATTAAACAGAAAAAAGTTCTAGCAGTGACAGAAATCAAATGAAAAACAAGCACATCACTTACTTTTGAGTTCAACACGTTTCCTCCACAGAAACTTAAGCTTTGCACGATATTTTCCACCCTATTCAAGGTGATATACTTTGCACTGAATAACTTCACATTAACTACTTCAACATTGATTGTGTTCTGAGAAAGGACAGATAATTGAGATGAAGGGGTAGGAACAGATGCGTAGGTGCAAAGGGGTAGGTGCGAAGCTAGAGTCATTTTCCTGATAACACAAGACCAAAACAAACAGCTTGTCTGCATACACAAGAAAACGAGAAAGACACACACAAGGAGAAAGACAAATTAGACTAGAAAATAGAAACAGATGAAGTGACAAATCAAAAGAGTAAGAAAACTAATTCAGTATTGTGTAATAAAATGAGGAAGTGAACCAGCAAAAAACCTACAGAAATGGAAAAAAAATAGAGGAAAAAAATCCTAATTAAGCTGATTACAATCAGAAAGAGAAATAAGGCCTAAAAGTACCAAGAGGGACTACATGCAATTTATTAGTTAAAATCACCTCTTAATGTTACAAGTCAATAAAACACTTGGATGATATATTCTTTTCATTTTCAGTGGTCTTTGGGATCACTGCACCATCATGTATTTCATGCTGACTCCCAAATAGTATTTGTGTTTAGCCTAGAAAACACTAAGGTTAAAAGCCTGAAGACATATAGAATCATAGAATCATTTAGGTTGGAAAAGGCCTTTAAGGGAGGGGAGTCTGCATCTCAAAGTGTTGAAGCATAATTTACACATTCAAATGCAGTATGAAGTATGTTATCACTCTGGACATATGTAAAAATGTGCCTTGAATTCTTGCTTTAAAAATGTTTATTGTCTTCTCCAAAGTAGTGCAGTCTAGGAATCACCTAGTAAGATGGATCAAAAGCTGGAGCAATACTCTAAAATCTTCCTTTTCATGAAGGTACATCCGTCTCTTGTACCACTTCAGTTGTAGCTACCATGTAGCCTACAGACAAGGAAAGGGTTACCATTCCCTGATTTTGCCATATGGTCTGGTTGCACCCAAAGCAGATAACGTGGTAAGATTTGATTTCTGCCTATAAGTGAAGTGGTTCTGGATCATCCTTATTCCCGTGACTAATGCAATCCACCTTTGAAGAAAATAGTAACATCTCATTTAAATGGTAAAATCCTAATAGAGAGCACTGAGCCCACCATACACCTCTGCAGCTGTGTGAAGTATGCACACTTTCACAGAGTGCACACATGCAAACACAATTCTACAACTACTACTACTCACTGTGCAGAAAGAACAATTTTTCTTCCCCTTGACTTCAAATGCCCTTGTAATAGACCATGTCTTTTAATGAGCAAGCATGGCAACAAGTTAAACTACTAGTAGTTCAGTGTGATTAAGGAAGTTATTTGCAAGATAATGGTTGGTTTATTGAATTATAGAAGCATTCATTCCATTGGCTTTCACAAGAAATTCAGGGTGTGGTTTCAAGCTGATCTATAGCTAGAGTGAGCAAAGGCAATCATGTAATTCCTCGCCCTTGTGTTTTCACAGCTCTCACGGCAGTGACTAACAACTGCAAGGCAGCATGGTACCAGAATGATTTATTTTACCATGCAATTCACATATGACAGTTGCTACACTATGAGGGAGATGCAGAAATGCACTGGTGAGGATGGCGCTGCTGTGCTGCTCTTTTGGCAGCAGACCTGAGTTTCAACAACTTCAGCCAAGAGGGAAACAGCAAGAGCAGGGAAGAATGGTATCAACAGGAGTAGACAAAATACTTTTTCACCTACCCACTCTGCAAAGAGTATCAAAAATGCTGCCTCGAAGTGGACAATGCAAAACTCACTTCCACAGACCTGAAGAAATAGGAACAATTTTCACATACTGAAATGAGAAAAGAAATGAGAAAAGTCTCTTAAATATAGTCTTTCATTAAAAATATGCATAACTAAATGAAACTGTAAGAACAAAATACAGACAATGGTCAAAAGCAAGAAAACCAAAAGCAAAAGTACAGTTACATGCAACAGTTAACGAGTGCAAAAGAATTAACAACAGCAATTTGAAACAACAGCTGTAGGCATAATTTTATGATATAACTAACTCTCATCCTCATGTTTTGACACAAGATTTTGTTTAATCAGGATATTCTCTAAAAGAAAGTTGACAAACATACACTTGTGCTTATCACTTAAGACAGGATGAGTTCAGCAGAAAACATGATAACTCCCTGGTAGAACCCAAATCAACTCCTTATCTCCCCAGACAGGGTACAAAAAGCAGATTAACTGTCTTGACTACAGACCAAATCAAATGAATAGCAATTTGACAATTGGCTATGGAAACTAAGAGATTTATTAATATTTTGCTATTTTAATGCTTCTGATTGTGATAGATTATTTCCATTTCTGATTAACAGAGAGTAGTAGTAAACAAGATTTGGGAGTGAACAGCAAGCTCATAAGGCGAGACAACTTCATTCATACCAGGCTATACTACATGTTTTCCACAAGCACCTGAATCAAAGTGGGTTAAAAACAGGTATTTATGAAGCAACTATGGGAAAGAAATCGATATAATTCCATGTAAAATATAATTTCTTTTAAAAGGCTCCTGAGCCAGAAATCTATGGATAATAAGAATGAAGTGGTTGATGACTCTTTAAAAGCTTGAGCATTATCTTCCAGAATTCCAAAGTCTTGTTACCTGAAGATTTAATCTGGTACCAGAATGACTAAATTTAATTTGAAAACAAAATACCACTGCTGTGTATAGTGTTGTTCCTGAGCTTCCCTCTTACTAATCCACAAGGAGGCCACTAACCTCAACTATAAACACTTATAGGTTTAGGTACATATCTGGTCTGCTTTTGATAGCCAACAAAAAAATTACAGTTTACACCACTTTGGTTCCTTTGAATTTTTTAAGTTTAACTTGAGTCACATATTCCTGCTAAAAAAAAAATAAGCTTAAATAAAGAACCAATTTCTTTGCCATAAAACTGAAATTCTTACAGCTTTTTACAGAAATTTTCTGATCCAAATAAAAATTACTTATCTGTGTTTACTTTTATGTATTCTCACCCTTATTAAAGATAAGGTTTGGATCTAAATTAGCCTCAGCATTCCACAGAAAGAAATTGATGCTTTTATTTCATTTCTGTATTAAAGCAGCATGGAAGTGTAATTTTTCTTCTTTCACTTTTTTTTTAATTAAATGCCCTTGAAAATAAAAAGTCACAAGACAACTTATGAAAAATTTTGTTTTACTTTAGGTTTACTAGGGCATTTTCAACAAAGTTTGGAGATCAACAAATGGCATTCAATTCTCAGAAGGTACTTAGCAACTTCCAACAAAAAAAAGAATATTCCCAAATCACTCAAAAACCCCAGGTCTTCCTGAAGTGTCACAGGCATCTCAGAGCATACTCAAACTTGCAGTTATCACCAATCACCTGTATCTTCACTGAAACAGATAAAGGCTCTACTTCAGAAAATTTCTTTTAAAACACTCAGTTAATTCACCTTTAATACTTTTATAGTCTTTGTTTCACTCTCTCAAAAGAAAGTTTATTAGGGAGGTTCTACTTTGCAATGTTAGATTTGTAGAGTTTAAGAATTACATGTATTTAACCTGCATCATTTCTACCCAAACCAGAAACAATGCTAACATTAAGCTATCTTTAGTAGTATTTCAGGGCAGTACACAAACTGACCCATGACTCTTCTTCCCTCCTTTCTCAACTGAAATAATAAAACCTTTATAAATTTTTTTTTAAAAATACTTGGGAAAAGAGGTCATCATACTAGTTGTATGACAGCACAGGAACCTCACACCCACATTAGATAGCAATTCCAAACCTTAAGAAAGAAACAAACAAAGAAAAAAACCAAAACAACAACAAAAAGAATCCCTGTATTCTCTAACAGAACACAGGAAAAACAAAATTACAAGTTCCTCCACAAGCAAATTTGGCAAATTAAGAAAAAAAAATTCACTCTAGTGAGAACTTTCTTAATTTTCTCTTGAAATTTTGCAACATGCACTTTTAAAGAAAATGTGAAAAAATGCTGATATCAGAATTACTCAGTAGAATTTTAAATTAAATTTTTCAAAAAGATACCTCTTAAGACTATTTGCTGTTTGATTAATCAGCATTTATAAAAGACTGTTCTCATCAACATGTCTCCCTATAAAGTCTTCTAATACCACAGTCTGTTAAAAGATGTCAGGAAGTTTTTTCAATCACAAGGGAAAAAGAAGCCTTAACTTCTGTATCAGAACACCTAGATTTTAAGAACAGCAAAGGTTTTACATGTCACCGACATTCAGGACACAAGTTTAAGTTAGCGTAGCATCTACATCTTTCCATGAAGTTGGAAGTGCTGACTTCCGTGAACATTTCTATTTTCACCTCTGCATATGGTTACAGTGAAAAAAATAAACATTAGGTTAGTTTCCTGGGACAGTTGAATTTCCCACCATGGCCAAGCTACCCAGACCTTGGATTCTAAAATATGAATAGGTAAAGGAAAAATATCAGCAATCAAATTTTCACTTAAAAAGCAGCCAGGGAAGTTAGCAGTACACACAATGAACTTGGGTTTATTACTTAGTTGCAAGTTGAGAAACTTTATCAAGACACACAACAGCCAGCTACCGTCATGCTATCCCAGCAGTGGGAGCACAATAATTCAGACTTGTTTAAAATATCTTTATCTTCTGAGGACGACAACGCTGTGGAAACTTCATCCCCGTAACAATCTGCTGCATAGTTAAGGCTTTCAATAAGGTCTACTAAAATGCATTACATGAACAGCCATTCTGATTATTGATTAACTCCGCAGAATAGATGTCAATCAGTTCGCTTCCACATACACACTTCCACCAGGCACCAGCGACAAGGCGAACACCAGCGGTTCCACGTTTTCCCTGTACAGAGAAGCACCTCCCAAAGTCGGGATACTAAACTTCAATTACCACGTGAAACCGCAAATACCCAAAACCTCATCGCGATCCACCGCTAAGAAACCCGCGCGCCAAAGGATTTTTTTACCACCTTAAGAGGGGTACCTCCGTAATAAAGTTTAAAACCCGGGCAAGCGCAGGCCCCGAGCGGCGGCCGCCCCCTCCAACCCGCGGGGGAACGGGAGCCGCGTCCAGCCCCGCGAGCGGCGCATCCCGGCCCGGGGCCACGACCCCGCGGGGCAGGAAACCGGCCCTGGCCACGGCCGCGGGGAAAACGCGACGCCGGCCGCCCTGGGAGGAAAAGAGGGAAAAAGAAAGAGGAAGGGAACGGAAGCGAGACCCGCACGCCCTGAGTACCACAAAGTTCCCGGCGGCAGCGCCCGGCCCCTCAGCTCCAGGTCGGTGACAGCCGCTGGCTTCCTCCTTCTACAAGTACCTGGCGGAGCAGCCCTCGGGAATATCCCCACCCCAAGCCCGGCCCCTTCGAAACCCGGCCCCCCTCCGACACCCACCTTTCCCCTCGCTCCACTCCGCTCCCTCCGACGGGGGCGGAGAGGACCTCCCCCAGCCCCTCTCTCTCCACCCCCGCTGCTCCGAGGAAGAAGGAGCCGGGATGTGCTGGTCACCGCCCCACCCCGCCGCAGGCAGCACCAGATGGAACCCTCGCGGAGCGGAGCGCGGCGCAGGCGCACCGAGGTCCCGCGCCCCTCCGCCCCCGGACTCTCCCTCTGCGGCGCCTGCGCAGTGCGGCGGTCCCGCCGCTGTGGGGCGCGGTCGGGCTGTGCCGGGTCATCGGGTGCTCGCTCCGGAGCACGGGAAGAAGGCATGGATCGCTCGGCATCACTTAAGTTGGAAAAGACTCCGAGGTCATCGAGTCCAATCTGTGATCCGAACGCCATGTCAACTAGACCATGGTACTACGTCCAGTCCTTCGCTAAACACCTCCAAGGACGGTGACTAGTACTTTCCGGGCAACCCCATTCCAAATTTTAATCAACCCTTCTGTGAACGTAACTCCTAATGTCCTCCCCTGGCACAGCTTGAGGCCATTTCCTCTTGTCGTGTCCCTGGCTGCCTGGAAGAAGGGACCGACCCCGAGCTGGCTGCACGCCTTTCAGGCAGCTGTGGAGAATGGTGAGGTCTCCCCTGAGCCCCCCTTTCTCCAGGCTAACACTCCCAGCTTCTTCAGCTGCTCTTCAGAAGACTTGGGCTCCAAACCTTTCCCCAATTACATTTTCCTTCCCTGGGTTCTCGCCAGAACCCCTGTGTGTTTCCTGCTCAGAACTGAAAGCAGGATTTGAGGTACAATCTCACCAGTACTCAGTGAGGGTCGGGAGTGGTCACTGTCCTGGTCTTCTTGGCCACACTGTGCTGGTGCAAGCCAAGACAACATTGTCCTTTTTAGCCCGCTGGGCACACCACTGCCTCGTGTTCCATCATCTGTCAACCAGCACCCCAGGTCCTTTTCTGCCAGGCAGCTTCCTATCCACTCCTCCCCCAGCCTGTAGTGCTGCAAGGTTCAGGGCAGCAGCCACAGGTCAGGGACTTCACCATCCCTTGAGGGCCCCAGTGTCCTCCTGCCTTTCGGGTCGCACAGAGCAGCTGGGGCAACCAGGACAGAGGGAGAAAAAGCTGGCCACTCACCCGGCACCACCAGATGGGATTCAGGTACCAGCCCTGACCTGGATGCTGGTTGTGCTGTCCCTCCATGTGGCACAGCCTCAGCGCTGGCTGTTGTGCTGTTAAAAGGTGGTCAGCCCCTGTCCCTGTAAAAGCTGGGTGTGTGGGTTTGTGAATTTGCTGAGCCATATGTAAAGGAAACTTCCCTGCTTGACCAGGAGCCACTCTGGCAGTCCGTCTTGCACAACCTGAGCTGGGATCAAGGCCCCTTCACAGCTACACTCCCCTGCTCACACTGTAACACCAGATTCCCACAACTCAGGTTTCCCAGAGCTGAGTTTCAGAAGTCCACATCCCCTGGGTGCAATAACTAAACAACAAAATAACAGCTCAAGCTGGTGCCTCCAAGATCCATAGGTGTGACAGGGGACAGATGTCTGGTCCCCTGACTGGAGAGTAGAGAGAGAAGCTGGGTGATGCCAGGCAAAGTCTGGTGACATACTCTTGGCTGTCTGCAGTTCAAGTGAGCTATGTCTACATCCTGCTCCCTAGAAGTGGGCTCCCAAGGGCAAGAAGTGCCCTGGAGATATGAGATAGAGACATCTGTGCTTCATGTAACTGCAAGGAATTGTGTTCCTCTGGTTATGTCCTGTGTAGGGTGGACTTCCCTGAGCTAACTCTTTTTCTGGGCTGTGTTGTTAAAGAAAAGTGTCGCCTCAATCAAATGGATTAGTCACAGGACAATTCTTGAATGTCCTGTGAGTCTGATAGACTTCTCTCCTAAGAATACAGGAGTATCTAGAAGTTTGCTTTTCTGTTCCCCCACAAACTACAGGAATAGGACAAGTCACTATGATCAAGGAAGTACTTTGGGGAGTAGTTGTTTGAAAAAAATGAATTTTAGTGTTAACATAAGGGTCAAAAATAAATTTTAGACATACCAGCAGACTCAGAAATTATTATGTTTGAATCAGTTATTATGAGAAAAGGAAGTGAGAATATCAATATTTTAGATATACTAATGTGAGAACATACATACATACATACATACATATGAGAATATACTAATATATTAAATATTTCCAATGTATTGGAATATATTTTATATATGTTAGTAATTAAATTCCTATATGTATATAAATCTAAAAATTAAGGATTTTTGAGTCTGTTGAAAGAGCTTTTCTTTAGAGGTCACGTTGTGAAAAATGACGTACAGTTTCATCCCTTAGCACACATGTTTCTTGTTACAAGTTAAATATACAACGTAATTTAAAAATACTATAATGGTTCTCCTGTAATTGCCCTGTACACTATAAAAATAGAAAGAAGTGTGTTTTGCCAGTAATCTAGACTTTGCTGCCATTGAAGAATGCTTTTAAATTAGTTTTCAACTGCAATTCACAAAGACAGTAGAAATTTTGATAAATTGTTATAATAGAAAAAGAAAATAAATCCTTTGTGATGGGGCCTGTGAGCTGGTTGCTACACAAGCAGGGAACAACAGAAAGGAAGAAAACTTTGATCATTCCCTTCTTGGGAGGCAAGGAGTGAAAGGGATAGAGAGAGAGATAAAGATAATGTGAGGGGAAATACTTCTAGGAAGCAAACTTGGGCTTTGGGAGTTCTTTTCCTACTTCACCTGTCACACTTTTAGAGATTTTTTGTTTGTTTTCAGTTTGGAGGTTTTGTTCATTTGTGGTTTTGTTTGTTTTTAATTGGTCCCCTTATTCTATTTATTAATTTTGGCTTGTTTCTCTGATTGGTTATGTCTGTAGCTTTTTCTCTTTTTTCTCATTAATTTAAACTGTATTCTTCCTGACCTATGTCAAATTCATGTTTCTTGCAACTTTAGGGAAGTCTGTGGAATTGTGCTGTCTATAAATTAGATGTGTGTGTTTTGAATGGATGTGTTGTTTCCAGCTGTGTCTTTTATATGGACATAGAAACTGAATGATGGTTTTGTTTACTTTAAAGAGGTATATAGTGTGGTTTAATTAGATAGAACTTCGAGGAAGAACAGATATCTGTATGCACAGATCCAATTATAGCATCAGGGCCTGAGTGCACGATATTTTGTCTGCTCAGCATACAAATACGAATAGACAGATGCAATTAGTCTATTTTAAACAAACTATGTTTATCTGGTTTTAGCAACACCATATTTTACTAAAAATTACTTGTCTTTGATGTTATTCTATCAAGTTGAAAGAAACTAATACCTACTGTATTTTTATCTTATTGATATTGTTGTTGTCCATATTGCTAACACTTGCTTACACTATGAAAATAAATCAAAACCAAATTACGTGGTTTTGTGTTTTGGAGTTGTAATTATAATTCCATGGGTTTGAGTGTTTATGACATAAATTAATATTTGGCAGCTAAAAGGTTTTCTAAGCTGTTCTCTATTCAATGAGGACCTATTATCCATTTTATGCAGCTCCTATTTACTCAGAATAATTTGATACGTTGTTGTTTTTCAGGTAACTCTTCTACTAAAACTCCAGTTCTTTGTAATATGTTATGTTTATGTAACCAGATGCATTATATTTCTGAGAATACTATTCAGTACCACTTCTAGTAGGAACTTCTTTGTTTAGTTTCCTGGAAAAAAAAAAAAAAAACCCTAAGAGATTTCTTAGCAGGGTAGTCATTGACTAGGTCATTTGACTTGCTCCAGCCTGACAACACAAGGCTTTCATCTAGAGATGTAGCTCAAGAAATAACAGTCCTTTTTAAACCTTGTAATTCGCTGCAATTTTACCAGCTCCTCAGCTGTTGTGGTGCAACTAAACTGCAAAGTCACTCCATAAACTGCATTTAAAAAGGTAACTTCCTCCACCTTTTTGGTTTTAGGATTAGTACAGTAGCATAGCAGAGCAGACATCTGGAAAGAGCAGCCGTGGACTTCCATGGTCCTACCCCTCTCAGGTTTATTGTGCACTGTACAGGCTGCAAACTCCTGGTAGGGTATGGCTACTCCACCAAACTGCTCACTGCACTGAGTCAGAAATACAAGCTGCATCTTTGGCTCTGCTGATCACTTCTGGAGAGAAACAAAAGTAGATGCTTTCTCTGACTAAACCAGTTACTTTAAGGGAAACACTCAAAGTGACAATTATGTGTTGTGATTTACCATTCTGTGTCTTCCACTATGGAGCCTGATGCACTGCAGAAAACTGGGTGCAAATTTTAGCAGAATTTTACTGGCAGTGAAGAAAAAGTAGAAATTGTTTTGGTAAGCTACTAAAAGCTGTATTTATCAAAAACCTGATCTTTTTCTTTTTTTTTTTTTTTTTTTTTTTTTTTTTTTTTTTTTTTTTTTTTTTTTTTTTTGGGGGGGGGGGTCACAAGGGGGGGGGGTGTTTTTTTTTTTTTTTTTTTTTTTTTTTTTTTTTTTTTTTTTTTTTTTTTTTTTTTTTTTTTCAGGGGCGGTGCTACAAGGAGAGGGTTGGTTGTTTTTCTTTCCTGGGGTAAACTTGGGAAATTTCTGTTCAGGTAAGTGTAAGAATGTGTTAAAATATATGTGCTCTTGCCATAGTAATGAGGAAAATGGTTTTTTAGTTAGGACTCACATACCATTTAAGACCATATGTTATCTCCTGATTTCAATGCAGAATCATTCTAAGATCACAGTAAACCTAAATAGCATTTATTGGCAAATGCCAGCAAATTAATGTATGTCTGCCTTGTGGAATGTACTAACTAAATTACCAGTGGAGGAAACAACACAGCTAACCTGTGAGCTATAGCCTGTTCAAATGAGTCCAGAGCTGGAAAGATCTTTGGAAGCTTTAGAAAGTGACAAAAGATCAGGTGAGAACAACAAAAAGCTTTGGCAGAGTTTGGGTTTCAAGAGCCTTGAAATAATGTGTAATATTTAAGAATGGCAGAAATTGAAAGGTATTATGACTGTGTTTGTTGATATAAATTTTTAGATTGTTCCTAGACCTTAAAGGAAAATGCTGATGCAAAATGTAGGAAATTTGGGATGTAAAATTATGCTTCAAAATCAGTATTTGTGCATAGAACTTGGAGAA